AACCGTCTCCAGGTATACTCTAGGTATACGTCTCATCCTGCTCAGTATTCCAACTCTGGTCATTTTGTTTGTAAGCTACGAAACATCTGTTCTATATGAAATGTTATTCCTCTTGTCTCTGCCTCAGCCAAGATTAGCACTTGTTCTATACGAATGACATCACACTGGTATCAGTACCTAAGTTTAGATTGGCACCTGTCGCTCTGGTCTACACATGAACAGAAAAAAAGTGCTTATGAACCACCTATCCCACCATTAACTGTTTTGATTTTGCCATTGTCCATTACTAAAATATCCACAGAAAACTTGAGTGATATCACATTAACAATCTTTTTTTTTTAACCAAAAGATTGTGACTTGTAATCTTTACTGGCTTGGCTAAATTTATTGGGTTTTAGTGGACTGTTTAACAATTGATAAACAGATTCATTTTTAGTTTTTAAAACAGTCTCCTATTGAGGTGAGCCCATAAAGAGGAAAACACTTTAACCATCATTCATTTAATCACTGTCTTGCCAGGAGTGTGCTGACATCACAGTTCACATGACCCTCCAAACTGTAACACCCCACCCGTCCTTCAGAGTACAGGCCTCCAGGACTTAAGTCCGGTCACCGGCTTTTCTGAGTCCTTTGTAATTGTTACCTTGCTCAGACTCCAACAGCACGTCAAATCGAAATGTCCCAAAAAACTCCTCAAAGTGCTTCTTTTCTTAATAATAATAATAATAATAATAATAATAATAATAATAATAATAATAATAATAATAATAAGAAGAAGAAGAAGAAGAAGAAGAAGAAGAAGCAGAAATATAGGTGTAATAGTAAATAAAAGTAAAAATATATAAACCTGAAGGACAAAAAATTCGTCATTCTTGAATGTATTAGTGGACAGAAACAAGTATGGAGAGAGAAAAACACAAATATCCCGGACTGCTTGACAATTATGCCATGGAAGAGTATAAAAACTTAATTCTGCGGTGGTGTACATAGCGTGTTTGGTCCAGCTTAGATACACCGCCTGGGGCTCTTAAGTTATAATTCCTGGTGATTCATGAAGCCTACAGTGTATCAGACAGTTGTGCTCTTCAAAAGGCTGACGAAGAGCTCTTGATTTTGGGAACTGGAGCTGTCCTCCCCATCCTTGGATCGAACTTGATTGCCTACCACTCCCTAGGTACTGTATGATACCAACGGGTTTAGCGCTTCCTCGTATTAATATAGCAGCTGGTGTTGATATCCTAGTTATTCTGGCCACCGACTATTATATAATTATCTTAGCGTGCTTCTGGTAATACTCTTTAAAATATAACATCCAGTGTTACATTATCGTGATCTAAATATTCTTTTTATAAATTAACCATTTACTGTTTATGCAGTTTATTCTATATAAGAGATGTTAGCCCATATTAGTTTACCTGGAGAGAGTTCCGGGGGTCAACGCCCCCGCTGCCCGGTCTGTGACCAGGCCTCCTGGTGGATCAGAGCCTGATCAACCAGGCTGTTGCTGCTGGCTGCACGCAAACCAACGTACGAGCCACAGCCCGGCTGATCCGGAACTGACTTTAGGTGCTTGTCCAGTGCCAGCTTGAAGAGCTGGGTAACATCTCAGAATGACATCCATAAAAATCGACTAAAAGCTATAAACTTATTTACTCCAATTATTATTATTATAATAAAAAAGAAGCGCTAAACCACAAGGGCTATACAGCATATAAACTTATTTACTGCCATGTGTAGGCTACCCATGACGAGTAGAAATGTTGATTATTCCTTACATATGTTGCACCTGCATGAGAATGAACACTGAAATAGGCTTTTCATTCCATGCTAGGTAGGTTTAACTCATCCAATACCATGTACTCATTTACCTGGCCAACAATGTTACCAGAGAAGCTGTTCCACTCACCTACAGTAAGTTTATTTAGGTATAGGCAGACATAAGTATAATTATCATACCCAGTAACGTGTAAATTACCTAGGATAACCCCCCCCCCCAAAAAAAAAGTCAAAGTGACTTATTTCCACTGATGTCCTTGTAATATCTTATATCTATATATTTTAATTTGCATGTTGCAATGTTCTGATCAGTAATGCCTAATTTGACCGGCGTGAGTTGACTGGCTGAGTGAAATTGTATCTGGGAAATAATTAATTCATGGTAAAATAATTAACTCTTGTGACGTGCATCAGCTGCTTCCGGTGTCCAGGTGAGTATGAGAGTAATATTTTATAAGTTCAGGTGCACCTGTGAAGTTTGACGTGTCATGCAGCCTGGTTGACCATGAAAGTACCAGACGAGCCTGGCCCATGGCCGGGCTCAGGGAGTAAATTAACTCTCGAAACTCTTCAAAGATATATCAAAGGCAAGCATACAAGGCTACACACTGACTGTATCTTACGTTGTGTGTAGCACCTGTTAATGGTTTTGGGGATCATTGCCCCCCCCCTGTGGGTCGGTCTCAGACTAGGCCTCCTCAGTTGTTAAAACAATTTCACAGATTTAAGAACTATCAAGAAACACACCGGAGAGCAAAGATAAATATATGATTGCAAGTATGAATTTGTAAGATTTATTTATCATCTTCCATATTCATGAGGGAGAAAGAAAAGACCAACCATTCTGCCAGGATACAAAACTTTTAACAGGCTTCCGTTACACACTGATAAGGCAGGATGGTAGAACCACTCTGGGTGGTTGCAATTAACCATCCTACTACCATCCACCGAAGTAACCAATTAAAATGCCTCCCATCGTTACTCTGACGAGTAAATATGTGACTATCAAAAGTTTTGACTTAAAATTAACTATAACTTAAAATTCACAAATATGTGCATGCCAGTAAAAGAGAGTTCAGCGAAAAAGGCGAGCCAGGAGCTGTGAATCGACTCCTGCAACCACATATAGGTGAGTCTACAAGAGGTAAAATACGAAAATGAGTAAGTGAATTAAGCTTCCACGTATAGTCAGTGAGTTAATAGTCAACGGGAGAGATTCCTCGGATCCACAATGGTTAGGTACGTGTACCCACAGTGGCTGGGTTCGTATGCCCACAGTGGTTGGGTACGTGTACCCACAGTGGTTGGGTACGTGTGCCCACAGTGGCTGGGTTCGTGTACCCACAGTGGCTGGGTTCGTGTACCCACAGTGACTGGGTTCGTGTACCCACAGTGGCTGGGTTCGTGTACCCACAGTGGCTCAGTTCGTGCACCCACAGTGGTTTGGTACGTGTACCCACAGTGGCTGGGTTCGTGTACCCACAGTGGCTGGGTTCGTGTACCCACAGTGGTTGGGTTCGTGTACCCACAGTGGCTGGGTTCGTGTACCCACAGTGGCTGGGTTCGCGTACCCACAGTGGCTGGGTTCGTGTACCTACTGTGGCTGGGTTCGTGTACCCACTGTGGCTGGGTTCGTGTACCCACAGTGGCTGGGTTCGTGTACCCACAGTGGCTGGGTTCGTGTACCCACAGTGGCTGGGTTCGTGTACCCACAGTGGCTGGGTTCGTGTACCCACAGTGGCTGGGTTCGTGTACCCACAGTGGCTGGGTTCGTGTACCCACAGTGGCTGGGTTCGCGTACCCACAGTGGCTGGGTTCGTGTACCTACTGTGGCTGGGTTCGCGTACCCACAGTGGCTGGGTTCGTGTACCTACTGTGGCTGGGTTCGTGTACCCAGTGGATGGGTTCGTGTACTCACAGGGATGGGTTCGTATACCCACAGTGGATGGGTTCATGTACCCACAGTAGATGGATTCGTGTGGCGAAACGTTTCTTCAATAAAGATTCCCACATGTTGCATAAGTGTCTCAATCTTCATTAAAAAACATAACAGCAATATAGTGAATGTGTGCGCTAATTCGCTGGTAAGTAAACACAACAATTACATAAATACACATCAAGAATAATGTATGTAAATTAACTGAGTGCCGTAATTTATGTTGCACTCTTGTGGCTGTAACTTCAATTACATTGTTTAGCTGACAAAATATCTTGCATTGTACTGTGTATACCTTACGTTGTATCCCTGCATTGTACTGTGTATACCTTACATTGTATCCCCGCATCGTACTGTATCATTACCTTGTACTGTACTCATTTAATTATGATGACTGTAATCTTGCATTGTATTGTGTATCCCTGCATCCTTATTTTGTGTTGTATTTCTTTGTATTTTGTATCCCTTATTGTGTAACCTGCACTGTATTATATATATGTTATGCTGCATTGTGTATCCTTTACATTGTATTGTATATCCCTTCATTGTACTTTACATCCCTTGCACTATAATGTATGCCCGTTGCATTATACTGTGTATTCCTCCATTTTACTGTGTATCCCTGCATTATACTGTGGTGTGTCCCTGAATTATACTGCGTATCCCTGAATTGTATGACGTATCCCTCATTGTACTGCGTATTCCTTCATTGTACGTCATATCCCTGAATTGTTGTGTATCCCTACATTATTTTATAAATCCCTGTTGTAATGTGTATCCCTGCATTGTACTGCATAGTACTATACATCCTTGCATTGCAGGCTGTACTGGCATTGCACTGCATATCTGCACTGTACCGTGTATCTGTAATGTGCTGTGTATTCCTGAATTTTGTAAGCATTGCGTATCCTTACACTGCACTGTGTATACTTGTATGTACCGTGTATCCCATGCATTGTACTGTGTATCCTTGTACTATACGGTGTATCTGTTGCCATGTACTACGTATCTCTGCAGTATACTTCATATTCCTTCCATTTTACTTCGTGTCCCTTCCACTAGTGTTTATCCCTGCACTGTACTGTGCATCCTTTAAAGTGCAATGCGTATCCTTGTTTAGCATTGTCCACGCTGGGAGACATTGAAATGTGATAATTACAGACTTCCAGGTAGAAGGTCATGAGGTTATTCACCCTAGTATAAGGAGGAAAGTTTAGAAACTGAAAATACTAGTCATTTATTAATGAAGGAACATTAAAAACTAAAAAATACTCAAAGATTACCTCACCTGTCTAAGGCTTTGCACGTGATGTTTAAGAATTTCACCTAGAACTTCCACCTTTGATTTAATAATTTCGTTCTCCAGCTCTGGGCCAGCCTTTACTTTCTTTTTGCCATAATTTAGAAATTCATTAAATGGCGCTCGTTCCGATTTGTACTGTGCTAGGACCTGCAGGGGTAGCAGGAGGAGGAGAGCCACCATGGTGAGTAGCAGAACCTGGGGTTGTACTGGGTATGTCGCTCTCCCCTTCATTGTCTGTGTTGGTGTCATCCTTAACTTGAAATTCACTAGGTTTAAATATAGTATAATGCTAAATCTCCTTAGTTTTTTTATGCCTTGTATACACTTCTTTACATGATTTACATTGTAACTCTTAAGTAAAGCTGATTTTAAGTAACACACCAGTGGTTTCTATTTCAGTGGACTATCAAGACACATTAAGATCACTCGTTCTCATCATCTTACACAACATAAATCCATGCACCGATAAAAGTGTCTGCCAGTGAAGTGTGAGTGTGTGTGGCTAGGCTAGACGCAGCTAGGGGAGGTAGGGAGGAGCCATATCTGTATAGCGTCGCCCAGCTGTTGCCACTAACTAGAGAGGGTGAAGCAGGGATGTCTGAGACGCTCCTCAGTGACTGCTGACCCTTGACTGCGCTGCTGCTATGCCCCTGCTGGCCTAGCCTTGCCTTGCCTGGCTACCCTGGCCCTCCTTACAAAGCCCCTCTTGTGTAACCCATTCTGGCATCACCAGTATTACTCGTACACATTTCAACGTTTCCTGGTGCTGCTCACACACGTTTCCAGACGTGCCAGAGTGTATTAAATAGGTTATTTGCGATTAAATATACGTTTTTTTTTTATAAGTTTATGTTGCCTAAATAAACCCAACGTAATCTAACCTAACCAGACCGTTTATTTTTTTTATTTACGATTAGAGCGTAAAAATTGAAGGGGGAATCCTGTAGTAAAAGAAAGATGGGTTGTGTTGTAGCTTTCTCCAACCTCACGTGCATACCTCCACTCATGTTTGCAAATAAACAGCTTCTCGTGAATGTATACATATATTCTTAAATACACTGGCCTAAGTATATTTGTAATCGCATACTAATACATACAAAGGTGGGCTTCTTAATATACACACACGACCGCAGTAATGGAATGCCAGACGTACACATAGTCACACATTATTATTATTATATATATATATATATATATATATATATATATATATATATATATATATATATATATATATATATATAATATATATATATATATATATATATATATATAATATATATGCAATAAGATCACAATAAACAGGTGATTGTTTTGCATATTATATATATATATATATATATATATATATATATATATATATATATATATATATATATATATATATATATATATATATATGCAAAACAACCACTCTGAAAGAATAGAGAAATTCCAAGCGCTTTCGTGACTACTCACATTATCAAGGAACTATAGTTCCTTGATAATGTGAGTTACCTGGAGGTTACCTGGAGGTTACCTGGAGGTTATTCCGGGGATCAACGCCCCCGCGGCCCGGTCCACGACCAGGCCTCCCGATGGATCAGGGCCTGATCAACTAGGCTGTTACTGCTGGCCGCACGCAGTCCGACGTACGAGCCACAGCCCGGCTGATCCGGCACCGACTTTAGGTATCTGTCCAGCTCTCTCTTGAAGGCAGCCAGGGGTTTATTGGCAATTCCCCTAATGCTTGATGGGAGGCTGTTGAACAGTTTTGGGCCCCGGACACTTATGGTGTTTTCTCTTAGTGTACCAATGGCGCCCCTACTTTTTATTGGCGGCATTTTGCATCGCCTGCCCAGTCTTTTACTTTCGTAGGGAGTGATTTCTGTGTGCAGATTTGGGACCATTCCTTCCAAGATTTTCCAAGTGTAGATTATGATATATCTCTCCCTCCTGCGTTCCAACGAGTACAAGTCAAGTGCTTCCAAGCGTTCCCAGTAGTTAAGGTGCTTGACAGAACTTAGTAGTAGTCACGAAAGCGCTTGGAATTTCTCTATTCTTTCAGAATGGTTGTTTTGCATATTCTGAAATCACCTGTTTACTGTGATCTTATTGCATATATATATATATATATATATATATATATATATATATATGTGTGTGGTGTGTGTGGTGTGTGTGTGTGTGTGTGTGTGTGTGTGTTGTGTGTGTGTGTGTGTGTGTGTGTGTGTGTGTGTGTGTGTAGACAGTGCCTGTACATTAGAAAATACGAACAATAAGTTTTTAATAGAAATGCAAATTTATTGGAGGTGCTAAATGCTTAGGGGTCATCAGCGCCTGAGGAATGGGAGGAAATCATGTTTGACTCGAGGAAAGAAAGGATAACTCCAACTCCTTACATCAAGAGCCCTTCACTAGTATTAAGGTACCTCTTTGAAGGGTCGTATTCTGGTTAATTACTTCCAAGAAGGCAGCTTACCTTGTTTATCTACTACCAAGAAAGCGAGGAGAGGATACCTACAGTTCCTTGGATCAAGAGCTCTTTATCAGCATCAAGGCATCCCGCCTCCCTACCCCATCCTGAAGGTTCCTCTTGAGATCTTAAAACCCTTCCGGCGCCACTCCCTCTCAATGACTCTTTGGGGAAAAAAAGTAACTGGTGAGAACAGATTTTGTAAACAAAGGTTTTGCCTATCAAAACTTTACTCATCCTTTCACTAGTCTAAAACACTTCACTAAGTTCTGTAATTGAGATGGTTGCTCTCCGCCAAGTTATGTCTACTAGTTCAGGGCCTATGACAGAGAGGTTCAGCCTGTACATTGGGCCGGGGGCCCGGCTGTGGATCTCTCAAGAGACGCACGCCATAGCCATAGACTTTTTTTTGTAATTTCAGCTATTTTTAGTTTATTTAGAAAAATAATTATGCAAAATTCACTTAGGCTGGAGGCTTCAGCCAGCCCCCAGCAGTCTTGTTCCGCCTTGTAAAATTTCTCCAGGCCTTGTCTACCATACTACATTTACCTGGAGTCGCTTCCGGGGGTCACCGCCCCTGTGGCTTTATCCTAGACCAGGCCTCGTGGTTGTTGACCTGATCGATCAAGCTGTTAATGGCCACCTCCCTTAGTCCAACGTATGCACCACAACCCGGCTGATCAGGAACGGTTTTTTGAAGACAGCTAGGATTTTGTTGATCTCCCTTTTGTATGAAGGGAGGGTTTATTTGCAGTTCTAATTGCGTACGGTATATAACATTAATTTTAGGATATGTACATGAGAAATCTATATTTCAACTTTAATAATAAATTTTGGTCATTGAAGACATTATATGATGATTTAACCTGAGATATATTCTTTCAAAAGGCTTAAAAGGCTTGGGAAAGTCCCTAAGAAGCCCAGTAATAAGCCACACTCCTTGAATTTCTTGTGTTATCCTGCGTTATAAACCCTCAATCTCGAAGCCACTCTGGTTTATTTCAGAGGAAGTGGATAGGACATCCTCCTAGGGCTGATACAAGAAACAAGAAGTACACAGTGGATCATCTGTTGTAGAGAGTAACCAGGATCCAACACCATCACAAGCAGGCGCTGATTCTATCCCAGATGATGGACGAAACCTCACTTCACTGTCCACCCTTGTTCTGCCAAGAATTCAATTTCCTTTTACCATTATTTTTTTATTCATAAAAATCATGTAATATGAGATATCACATTTAATAGTTTACAACGGTATCAGCAATTTGTAATATTTACACAACATATTTACCATTTGAAACATTTAAAAAAGAAAGTTTAATTTTATCTATTGACATGTATTCACGTGAATAAACATAGTATACAAGTCAACCTAACCCTGTTAAAATTTGCATATATATTAATAATACCAATAGATCCCTGGCTGCCTTAAGAGGGGGTTGGACATACCTAAAGTCAGTACCCGATCAGCAGGGTTGCGGTTCGTAAGTTGGACTACGTGTGGCCAGTAGCAACAGCCTGGCTGATCAGGCCCTGATTCACGACGAGGCCTGGTCAAGGACTGGGCCGCGGGGACGTTCACCCGGAACACCTTCCAGGTAGTCGAAATTTAGTGAGCAATATTTAATTTCCAAGAACTATATTACTTTCGTTATGTTTCAAGTTGACGCACATGTAACTTGATGTGAAGGCAACCACACGAGGTCTTCCATGAAACCTAACATACTATTACATCTGAGAATCAAATAAAATTAAATCAGCCTCTTTTTTACACCTGCGCTAAGATATGTAGCTCTTTAGCATCCATATATATATATATATATATATATATATATATATATATATATATATATATATATATATATATATATATATATATATATATATATATATATAAGCACCATAGGGGGAGTTGAATGATAGCTCTAGGCCTTTCGTGTTGCTATTGACACATCAGGAGCTGGCAATGTTGCAGAAATGAGTAGGGAGCCCAAGTAGTTTCGTTGCAATAATTTTGATTAAACACATACGACGTCTATTATATATGTGAAGAATAGAGTAAGTTTGTTTTTACTTTTACTAGTTATTTGTAGTTTATCATATTTGTTTAGTCATGAACCTGACTACAAAAACTGTTTATATACTTTTGAGCTTTTGTAATTTTTAAATTTTAAATTCTATGATGTATGTGGATCTAGTGAATAAAAACAAATTATTCTTGATATGTGGATACATTATCTCACCTAATTTCATTTTTTGCATATTCGCCATTTATTATCCTTAATTTTCCTTTGTATCTCGTCTTTCTGCATATCAACACTATCTAGGTATTTTATACCTGCTTTATTTAACATTCTGGAAGCTTTAATCGAATTTTTCAGTATTTAACAATAATGTATTTACTCTTCAGTATCGCCAGTATGATCTCTCATCCGAGTGAAAGCAAATTTTAATATAGTTTGAAGAGTATGATAAACCCAAGAGAGCAGTCACCAGTAATGGCGGCTGGTCAGACTGAGAGGTGGGACAGAAGCCATGATTTTACCCTCGTTACTCATCATGTGTTTGTGTGGTTGAGGAGGCTATATTCAACTTATTCTCTGGTCACGAGTGATATGACTTTAGATATGAATACTTTCTGGTGTTACTCGTCCACTATGTTGATACCTAACTTAACCTAACTTAACCTAACCTAACCTAACCTAACCTAACCTAACTTAACTTAACTTAACTTAACTTAACTTAACTTAACCTAACCTAACTTAACCTAACCTAACCTAACCTAACCTAACCTAACCTAACCTAACCTAACCTAACTTAACTTAACTTAACTTAACTTAACTTAACCTAACCTAACTTAACCTAACCTAACTTAACCTAACCTAACTTAACCTAACAACCTAACCTAACCTAACTTAACCTAACCTAACTTAACCTAACCTAACTTAACCTAACCTAACTTAACCTAACCTAACTTAATCTAACCTAACCTAACTTAACTTAACTTAACCTAACCTAACCTAACTTAACCTAACCTAACTTAACCTAACAACCCAACCTAACCTAACTTAACCTAACTTAACCTAACCTAACTTAACCTAACCTAACTTAACCTAACAACCCAACCTAACCTAACTTAACCTAACCTAACTTAACCTAACCTAACTTAACCTAACCTAACTTAACCTAACCTAACCTA